GTCTAAATTAAATGCCTAAACAGTCGACCGTCAAGTCGGAAGCCCATGTATTCAGATATCATTCATGTGCAGCTTATTTTTTAGCTCGATTTTACCATTCCGTTCCCCTACAAAACACTGGGAAAAGCCCGGAATATCTAAAAATAATAATGATACTGAAAATTCAAATTTTGCAACAGTCTTCAAGATGTTCTTCCCTCTACGCAAATGTGGAATCGAGTATACGTTAAAAATGATGTGTTTCTGACAGCTTCATTTTCGCTATGATCTTCTAACCCCTCAAACTTAAGAGCGGGGGTAAGCAAAGCAATCGAAATCACGACGTTGTTCTCCACGTAGTAATGAAATATCTGTAATCATGCTTTTGTCTCCACCTAAAATGCAAACATAGCAGATTCGCAATACAAATGATATGACTTATTTATAACTGAAATCTTGCATTGGTCAGCTATTCTCGTTCTCGCCCGAGATTAACAATGCATGCCAGTTTAAAAATGCTTATCAACACGTTAACCGTAATAGCAGAATATGCTAATTTTATCTTTAATTATGAAGCCTGAAGCTTAAATCTGAACAGCATTTTGAGTGTATTGTCAAAAACCCCTACTCGCCCTAGATTCTATAGGGTAACATTTCTTCCTCGAGGTGCTTCATTGAAAGGATACGGGGTATTGAGGTTTAAAAATAAAAAACATTTTTTTCTAATATCCTCAAAACCGTCAACTGGAATGGATTAAAATTTGGTATGTGGACTTACCTACGCATTGTCTCCATTCAAAGTCTTTTTCCACATAAAAGTAGTACGCCACTGTTATTTTTTCGAAACGCGCAATTTTTCTGCACTGTTTTCGTAAAAATAAAAATAAAACAAATTAGATCATTCATTATTAGTATTATTAGTTTCAAAATAAAATAGGAGGCCTCGATACAATCTTGAGGTTCTTCGGGAGTTTGTCAAAGTTATGTGTTTTACGGTTGCTATTCTTACCTTACTACAACCATTTTTTTTTTGTAAAAGTCAAGTCAAAAGATTTTTTCCACTTTTGAGTGTTGTGGAATCGAATTTAGCAATGATGAGTATGCCGATATAATTTTTGTGTACGGGTTCTGTAATAGAAATGCGTTAGCGGCTTCTCCGGAGTATCGACATAGATTTCCTAACAAACGCCAACCTACCTCAAAGGTTTCTACGCGTTCATTCCTAACACTTCGCAATATGGAATTGCTAAATTTCCGGGAGTAAGAGGCCATGGTGTCCGTCATACTGTTCAAGAGTAACTGGAAGTGATTAATTTGGCGTTGGATGATCCTAGTACAAGTACTAGGCGGATTGCAGCCCAGTTACCATGCTCTCAAAGTCTTTTGTGCAGAATTTTAAATCGGGAAGTTTTACATACTCACCATGGGCAAAATGTGCAAGGTCTGCAACCCGGCGACGAAGTGCAACCGCGAAAGTGGTTACTGCAAATGCATAATCACAATGCAGATGTTATTAATTTGGTTTTGTGGTCAGACGAATCGCTTTTTTCAATGAATGGAACCTTTAATTCTCATAATGAACATATTTGGTCGTTAGAAAATCACCGTTCTGTAAGAATCCACTCGTTTCAACATAGATTTTCTAGAAATGTCTGATGCGATATTTTCAATGGCCAAATGTTTATGCACGTATTGCCACAACGTTTAAATGCAAACTCATACTTCGCTTTTCTAGAGAATTACATAGAAAATGTGTTAGATGATGTTCTATTAGCAACGAGAGTACGAATGTGATATTAGTACGACAATGCCCCACCGCATGTTCGTCGTGACATAACCGCATGGTTAAATAATCATTTTAGACAACGCTGGATTGGCAGAAACGGACCCGCAGATTGACCTGCCAGGTCCTTTTTTATTTGAACCCCCTGGATTTCTTTTTGTGGGGGCTTTTAAACAACAACTGTATGCTGAACAAATTAATACTGTTGATCAGTTACAAGAAAGATTAGATAATGCGTTTCATCAAATTCAAGCCGCAGCAAATTTTGCGAAAATACATTTTTCTTTATTTAAAATATGCCGCACTTGTATCCATCAGAATGGTGGTCTTTTTGAACAGTTATTGAAATAAGGCTTTGAATCTCTAATTTGTTTTTTATTTTTACGAAAACAATGCACTCTAGGAAAAAATACAAGAGTAATTATTTGTAGCAAATTGAAGGTAATGTTTCGAAAAAAACTGTTTGCTATTTGGAAAAATAATGATACTAATTCCCTATATCTCCGCCACTGGTGCACGTTAATTTTGAGTACAGACTTTTGAATATGAAAAATACTTAGTCAAATCCACATACCAAATTTTATTTCATTCCAGTTGATGGTTTTGAAGATATTAACAAAAATGTTTTTTATCCTTAAACTTCAACACCCCGTATCTTTTCAATCAAGCCTTCAAGGAAAAAATGTTACATAGAAGACACTTAAAAGAGAAGCTTTTTTGCTACGGAATTTTTTCAAAAATGATGATCTTCTGGAACGTCAAAAACGAAGTTTGAGCGATTTTTTTTTTTTCGTTTTAGGCCTTTTTCTCAGACCAAAATGAATGACATGGTTTTTCGTGTTATACATGTTATATATGCAATCTAAAAAGCATAAGATCTCATTCTCGAAATTTTTCGCGATTACAGTACAAAAGTTGCGGTTATACAACCAAAAAAACAATTTTTCATATTTCGATTAGCTGAATCCAAGGCTGAGGTTTATTTAGCTCGTTGACATGAGGATTTGGAGTAAATTGCACAAGACCTCTTCAAATTGCTTGAAAAATTGTGAAAAATGCGATGCAAGCTAAAATCTGCTGTCATGTTGTCGTTCCACCTTCCTTGATACCAAGTGTAGAGTGGCTCAACTACACGCATTGATGGTTGCATAAGTTTCTGAAGTAGTCTGTAGTTTTCGTCTCTGAGACGCCAGTTGGTTGAACACCAAGATCGCATCTGGATGATTGTGTGTATTGGTCTGCTTGTGTATAAAATCCGTAATATTTGCTGTGTGAAAAAGTCATTACTGAATGTGCTGCCAATGAAGTATATCTATTAGCTGTGCCCGACGGGCTATTCTGAAGACGGGTTGTTCAAAGTTATGAATCACGATTTTTTACGTTTTTTTTTGTTTTCAAAAACTTTGAGGATAATTACGGGAAATCATCACCGCCCACGCGTTGTATGTAATTACTGTTAATATGACTTGTAATTCGGCAGTGTACAGTGAATATAATTCTTTCTTATCTCTCTGATTTTTTAAATTCAGCAAATTTGCTTATGTAATTTCCAGAATGGATAAGAAAAAAGTGGATGTACAACTAATTTCTAGGTTTGAATCTCAAGCAAATGTATTTGAGACAAGAATCCAATGGAATTATCGTCAACACACATTATTAGCATACAAATCTCCACTATGCACCTATGCATTGCCGTTTAATTCTAGCTACTTGTATAGTATACAACTTACAGCTTAGACCTCCAGTAATGTCATCTCTGAAACAGATTTTACATCACATTAGAGCCAAGCAAAACGAGTTCACAATGAGTCCATCAGCTAGTACTAAGTTAACATCTTGTAGAACAACCTACATAATATCACAAAACCAAACCAATACAATGCCAAAAAAAATCGACATAATGTCACTTTTCAAGATACGTAATAGCCGTGCGGGAGTTTTTAAAGCTTTGATTTCATCTTCGTGAGACAATTCGTGTTCTCTACCATGCGCTTTCAAGTTTTTCTCATTTCTCAACAATAGGACTTGATTGTCGGATCCAACACCTATTTTTGGGAAAAGGACTTATGACTACATCCTATTTCCAGAAGCCAGGATATCACTTTGCCATGCCAATACTCAAAACATCCGACGTTACCCTTGGTCCAGAGACAACCGATCTGCATGACTATTGTAAACTAACAATATACCTACGCACATCGTGCCATGTGATCCTTTCAGACTTCAGCGATTGCCAAGAGAGATTATACACGTCGGCCAAAAGCTGCCGTGTAAACATCTCAAGCGCTCCGACATTTCCCCTGGCAGATGAAACATAACTACCTCAGCCTGGCAATCCGGCTCTGAAAATCCCGAAACAGCACCCAGAAGCTAAAGGTGTCCCACCTGCGGATATTCAATAACAATTAATAGTGAAGTCATAAGTCACAAATTAAAATAGGTAAAATCACAACATATTTATAAACATGGCTTAAGACATTCATGATCATCAATATAAAAGTATTACGGTTAGAAATCCACGCAGGAAATACAAAGGAAATACTCAGTGGTTGCCCGGCTTTCAGGTAACCAAAACACTACATCAACAGCACTGTAACACTGTAACTAGGTCCACACCGTGCACTGCTTGAGTTTATCAGCGATCGTTATACCCATGTGAGTGCAAATGACACCGTTCGCTGGAAGCTTAACCAGGGAACAAGTGCCCAGAGGAATGGAATGTATACGTATGACATAAACAGGCTTAACGGAGGTTATGTTGAGTGACATTGACCAGACTTGTGAACCTGCTAGAAGAAATTCGTGTTTTACAGGATTGAACTCGCATGCAAAAATGTGTTTGAAATACTTTGTATGCTTACAAGAATTGAAATTCTACACGCAAAAAGCCAAAGCGGGAGCTCTGGTGTCAGTGGTGAATGCCGAGGACGAACATTCTCAACAAGATTGAGACTGTTGAGAGATAATAAAAACTTCAAAATAACTATAACGGTCAGTTTATTTGGATGAATCGCAGACACAGACATCTGCTTTGTTTATATTACGTCGTGGCTAGTGGGTAAAGGTGAGAGGCCTTGTGGGAACTTAGGGAGAGATTCGATACCACACCTTGACGCTGAATATATGGTGTATTGAGTCAGAGTTTATTTATTATTGGCATTTCCCCTAACTTATCCGCATATTTTCGGTCTGTGACATAATGGACATAACACTATATGAACTGTTTATTATGTTCCAGATACCCCTGCGATGTGGAGAGTAATAAGCCTGATCGTCATTTTCCAGTCTCACATCGTAATCAGCAAGCTGACTGGTGATAACATTTGCCGTACGGAAGAAAGGTACATCTATTGATACTTGCTAACGCCCCATGGTATGCGCCAACAAGACCCTTCACAGAGACGTTCCTCACTTAAGAGACTATTTTACAGAACACTTTCAGGGAAGTTGTCGATAAGCGCAATCGTACAGCCACCGCCATTGCGAGAATCAGTTAACTACACAGTCGAGCATGTTCGCAGGTACTCAAGACCACGGCTCGCACTGTGAACAAAATTTAATAGTGCAATTTTATGTCCAACCGAATCAAAATTATCCAATATCAACAACAAAATTATATTTTAAAACAATTGTGTACCAGATACGTCCCCTCGTCCATCGACCCGAAAACGTCAAAAGCCTATCAAAAAACGCGGAGACCCTCCTAGAGCTGTTGTCGAAACACACCGGTTAATTGTAATGGAATCTTCGACTAAAATGTTGCAAGTGCATTGTTCTGCATCTGGAACGCCCGAAATACTTCTTCATCGTCAAAAGGGATCCATGACGTTTGACCAGCGAGAAAATAATATAAGACATAAAAGTTTGGCATTGAGACCTGGATAAAAAACTCATGTTCCATTAATTAAGTTGGAGATTATCCATTAGATCTTTCCTTCAAGGATATTGGGTCAAAGTCATCAATTGCCTTTCTAGTTCTTCTGTGGACTATGATCAAATTTGGTTGAATATCCTTGTAGCAATTTTAATTGATATTCTCCAACCTAACTATTGGACCATGAGTTTCTTATAAAAGTTTTTTTTTTCGTGGTTTGTTGTTGGTTCTCAGACGCGCAGATGTTCTATTTCGCATTTTTTCGGAAGGCCTTTGGTGTTTTCGGGACGATGGACAAGAGTGACGTACTTGGTACTTTACAAAATGACAGATAGCACCATACTTGCATGTCATTTTTGAGGGCTGGACGTCCTTTTTTGGGAACAGGAATGCCTATGCCAAGCGGTCCTGGGCGATGCTGGTTTTGTGTGGCGTCATCCTAAAATTCGCAATGGCGACTTGGCCCAATCTCAGCATAATACGGGACTTTCAGACTATTGTAGAAACATACTGTATACCAATGTTATAATGGAAAAAAAAACAAACCGTTACCTCGGCGATAGCTAAATCAGTTATTGTCATTGTACTGAAAAAGATCACCTTTGTGATTGAAATGTTTACTACACTAAAGCAGATCTGTCAATACATATGGTTTTATTGTCCAGACAATTTTGGGGGAACCATGTACTGTATTTCAGTATCCGAAAAATTATGCGAGATGAAATGAGATATCTATGAGATATTGACCATTTCATTGTGTATTTCTAATTATTACGGGAAGGAAAACATAGCTGTGACATATTCTCATAGATATCCAGGATATCTCATTTCGTTTCTGATAATTTTCTGGATTCCAAAATACGGTATATGGTTGGCTATATTAAAGTATACGAGTAGTACCTTATAAATGCTGTGAGCAATCGTCAAGTCGCTTCTACAGACAACATTGAATAGAAGGGCAGATCCATCTATCCCTACCGGTATCATAAATATGGAAAAGTGTATGTATGTTGGTTCCGTTTCCACGTCAAAACAGCTGGACCGATTTTGATTAATCTTAGCGTGGTTATAGATTAGACCTAACAGACGGACATAGGCTACCTTTTGTTGCGTAAATAAAACTTGAAGGGGTTAAAATAGGGGTGAAAGTTTCTATGGGGAAACTATTATTCTTCAAGTTAGAGAAACGAATATGTGTTTTGTATTTTTGGTTCTTTTATATAATTTAAATAGGTACTCACGAGGAAATTTGGAGAATTCTACCCCTAAGATACAGAAGAACCTAGAGTTTTTCAAATTAGGCCAGCCTGAAGGTAAAAGTACGTTTTGTCTAAAATAAAGAATATTAGTAAAGAATTCCAGAAATTATAAATCCTTCAGACGGGGGCGGGTTGAATATTTCAGATTGAAGAAATTTCTCTCAAAAAATATTTAACAGCTAAGAACAGGTTTTGTGGCAGGGATTGAGGGATTAGAGGAAATTTACAAGTTTGTTTCAAATTGCATAGAGTTTTCTAATATCTAAAAAATGGCAACCACGAGGATATGTTTGGAGTAGACTTGAACTAACAAAGGATTGTGTAACCGGAAATTTGTCGAAGAGGTAGCTTTTTAAAGTTTAGTTCAATCTAAATTACTGTTTTCAAAAAATTGGTAATATGTTAGCTGTCCATCCCGCGGTTTTGCCCCTCGCATCTTCTCTTACAGAACAACCAAATTGCCCAAGCAATGCAAGTTGACTGTCAATTTGCTAATCCAATGCCGTAATAGCAATACTCAAAAACAATGTTATATGTTAATAACAAAACGCGTAACGCGGGTAACAGCTAGTGTATACTGTATACCTATAATAACATATATATTTACATATCTTTATGCCATTAGGGGGCTCCTTACTGAGTAAGATTGCGATCATATCCATTATGAATGAATTATCAGACAAGTCAGTTCCACTCTACGAAGTTATAATTTATGTTGAGCACAGGTATACAAGTCAACTACAGAGTTACCTAATGATAGAGATCCTAATGACTCGCTGAAAGTGATGGTCCGTTGGTGCAAAAAAATTCCAGATCACCTGTCCAAGATAATCTCTGCGGAGATTTAATACCGATAATTAAGTAACGTCTCCAACTTAACTGATTTCGATATATATCGTACATCGGTGATGAAAATATTTCTCAATACGTACATATACTTTTTGATATATCGACATCTGTCTTTTCCATTCACTGCATTTTAGCAATGAACGGTGGGATCTAAAGTAAAATTCCCATTTTTATCAAAGACACTGTTGGAAAAGGTAAAACAGTCAGTATTTGGATAGCTGCGATATTATGGAGTCGTCTTGGTGATCAACCTTCCAGGTGTCTTTGTGTCAACTTGATTCTGACAACAATATACATTGCCGTCGTCAGTAGGAATTTGTAATAGGCTAGTTGTAGTACATTTTTTAAAGTAGGTCTTAAATAAATATTATTTGTTCTATTAGACCTAATATGTTAATACTATATTTTTTGATGCTGAAAAACCGTCAAACCTTAATTTAAAAATATATTTTTCTTAGACAGGCGAAACCGCTAACATTACCTCTCAAACTTTTAGCTTACATGAAAAATATATCGTTACTGTATCGTCCAAGAACATAAAAACACACAGGTAAACACTCCAGGAAAGTTATGTGCCCAGGGTAATAAATATTCACAGCGCCTGGCTTAGACTTGCTCAGAAGGATCCTCAATCTGTATCGACTGTGACGCAGATGTATCTTTCCAAATATTATAAAATTATTCAGAGCTTATGAGGCATGAGCCTGTCTATCATTATATCACATGCATTGTACTTACATAGGAGTCTTGACGTTCCTTAGCACAGCAGAACAGAAATCTGGGTTGAAGGCAAAACAATTACCAACCATCAATGTGTCATTTTCCAGCAAATTTGTGCTACCTCTTTTTCGAATCCAACGTCAATGTTTGTTTTTTTTAAATAAGAAAACGATAACTTTCTACTTTAATATGGAGTTTTTTAGAAATATTTGACAACGCTAGCGCGTTGACCGATAGCTTTGTCACCGTTTCGAATTAAACAAAAGAAATCTATTTTCATAAATTGGGCTTATACACACACACATCAAAAAATTAAAACGATTTTGGAAAAACTCTTTTTTTCCGTCTCTCTCCGGACGAACTTTGAATTTCGGAATCATTTTATTAGTTACCTAAATACACAACTTTGCCTCCATTCAAGCGTTTTCGTATCTCTTACAGTTTCCGTGATCCCAATAGTAAGTGTCGAATTTGAAACACTCGGGATAGTTTTGATGACGTATTGTGCCTCATGTCATCCATACACATTAATTGTATTTAGTTGGACCATTCGGGACTATCGGAAATTCATTGATGGAAAGAACCGATAAGTCCCAGCTTGCACGGAGTAAGAGTCGATTTACCGGCGCTTGACGCTGTAAACGGCGGTGCCCGTGAGCCGCCGTAGCTGATCGCTTATGTGTCTGGGGCTGAAAATTGCAATAGGGAATTTGCCTAGTTGTACCTTCTCGTTTAGCAATTATTCCTCTATGGTTTTGTTCTAGCTATCCAGCAAATGTCACTGAGTACCGCCTGAGAAACGCCACCTTTAGAAACTACAAATGGTGCATGAATGTACCACCAAGATGTTCCTACTACACAGTAAAAACCATCAATGAGTCGAGGGTTGTGGTGAGTAGATTTGTTTATAGTCTTTTATAACCACATATTTTTTATTTATGTATTTACACCTACAAATCAACTAATAATTGGTGGGAGAACGAAAATTTGTACATTAAAAGCATACAGTAATAGACATTAAAGATATAACGTTCAAGAAACTATTCCATTACATAACAGATTTGCAGGACCAGCAGTCACATTTGTATCAATTCTGTTTTGTTCATTGTTCAGACAGTTACACATTCAGTACTTGATAGTTGCCCCAGAAAACTCTCTTATGGATCCTGATTCTTTCAGCAAATTTTAACAAAATCGTTGAATGGTTATCTTTATGAAAAGAACTTAATGTTCTCAATAAGTTAGGCATCATATTTTTTATGAACTTTTCTTATAGTGCAGGAATTTAAAGTGGCAAGCCTATCTCTGACGGTGAGCTGGAGAAACTCTGGGGGCTAGCAAATAAAACGTTAGAATGTTTCTGGTGGGACATCTTGGTATATTAAATGACAGGCCACTGAGAATATACGGACAATTATACTGGTTGTGAATAACCTTGAACAAAAGGATTAACGAGTGCTTTTTTCTATGGTCCAAACCTAGCATATCATGACTCTTCAGTAATACATCTAATATCATAATATCTAGTTCTAGATAAATGCCATTTATTCTGTAAGGCAGATACTGTACTGTTTCTAATGAGTCTCAACTCGTCACATAGCGGGGATTCCAAATAGTTCTAGCGCATTCAAGGCTTGACGTCATATTATACAAAATGAGTAGAGCTTCTATGCTATCAAAATCACGAGAGTTGCGCAACACAACACCCAGATTGTTACTTACAGAATTTATTAGATTATTTACATGCGGATTTAAGCTGAAAGTTGTGACAAAGATGACTCCAAGAACTTGCAGTTCTCTTACCTTTGGCAGTGATGTTTGGTTAACCTTATATTGATACTTTATCAAGCGTTGTTTCCTATCTGCATATTATAATTAACGCATTGGGCATATGCCTTAGAAGTGGTTGTCCTAGGAAGCATGCGTGAGAAATTAATTGGCATCCCATCCCATTTCCGAGATGCACTACGTTTCTTTATTAAATTCTCCAACTCTCCTATTCAAGGATACTTCCTCAATATCCTCCTTCGTCTTTCAACTGATAGTCCAGTTCTGACAGATGACCTAACTTTACCAAAAAGTTGTGGCAACGCTAGAGCAGAGATGATCTTAGTAAAGGATCTCTTTAATTTCTTTGTAGCAGATATTTTGTTACTTTGACTTGGTTTTCACAGCTATTTGAGTATAAAGGCTCTTATATGAAGGTTGTACGTACTCTCAACTATACACAATGAAGACATCAAATAACTGTTGAACTTTTTATTGCTTCTAGACCTTGAAACAATTAATTGCATTTTATTTCCCCTGTTGAAACTCACGACGCTTGCCAAATATACCCGTTACCAATAAAACCAAATGAATATATAAATCTTCAGCGGATATAAATTTCAACGGTTGATTTTATAACTAAATTGCCTAACAATCTAATAATGTATGAGTTACTGATATGTCTTAATCTACATGCTGAGAATGAATTTAACGTTGATATACAAGGGACATAAAGCAGATTGAGAATTAACAATAACTGGTAATAATTTCAAAACTGGTGTAGCTGGATTCACGTACAGAGTTTTCATATCGCATAAAGGTAACATGACTCAATAAGGCATTATATTCACAATACTTTATCTATCTTTGTTGAACAACTGATAATAGTTTCTAAACCTTTCTACACCTCAAGAAAAGTGCAAAAGTTGCATAAAGCTGACATAACTTTTTATGGCGTTACATTTACGTACGAGTAGTTGAATTTATCTGTCTCTAAGATTACTGATGAAACAGGTAGCAATTGCTGCGTTACATAGACATATTTGGTAAATATTTGATTGTCAACATTATTTGTTGCACACCATTTTTTCTTCACATAATCCTACATAATTTCAGATTGAATAATCTGGTTGCACTGACGTTATCTGAAAAATAGCTTACGATACGATTTTCTATAACGAGGTATCTTTCACTTTGAGAAGATTGTATTTTTGGAAGATGATATAAATTCGGTGCGTCCATTGTCCAAGATTCGGAATTTGTACTTTGAAAGGAAATTTATTAAAATATTTCGTAGAAATCAGTCAATAGGAATCAATCTTTATTATAGATACGGATAGGATACTACCATACATTTCAAATCAAGCTGCCAATGTCAGAGAGAAGCTTGTATCTACGTCACACCTGACGAAACCATAAGTTAAAGGGAGCGTTACAATTTAAGGCAAGAGCCAGGATGACTTTTTAAAAGCAATATATTAATAATGGGTGATTTTTTTGCTAGTATCTTTTTGGCAACACTGTTTTTGACATGACGCGTGAATCGTGTCTTGGGTCATTGTCAAACTTGTTCAGTTTGGTCTATAATTTAACCATGAATCGTCTTACGAACGAACAACGCTTGCAAATTATTGAATTTTACTATCAAAATTCATGTTCGGTTAAGAGAGTGCATCGAGAACTGCTTCCAATTTATGGGTAATTTGGTCGGCCTACTGAGGGAGCTATACCCAGTTTACATTATTGGACATTAAACCACCAACACGCAGACGTAGAGTGAGGACTGCAGAAAATATTGCGGCTGTATCCGCCAGTGTTAGTGATGACCGTGAAATGTCGATTCGCCGCCGTTCGCAGCAATTGGGCCTCTGTTACTCCACTACGTGGAAAATTTTACGACAGGATTTGGGTGTAAAACCTTATAAGATACAGCTGGTGCAAGAATTGAAGCCACAGGACCTCCCACAACGCTTCCAATTTGGTGAATGGGCGCTGGCAAAGCTGGAGGAAGATCCACATTTTTACCGAAAAATAGTGTTCAGCGACGAAGCTCATTTCTGGTTGAAGGGGTACGTTAACAATCAAAATTGCCGCATCTGGAGTGAAGACCAGCCAGAAGCATTGCAAGAGCTACCAATGCATCCCGAAAAAATCACTGTTTGGTGTGGATTATGGGCCGGTGGCATCATCGGGCCGTACTTCTTCAAAGACTACAATGGAAGATGATAACAAACTTTTTTTGCCCAAAATGCAAGAGCTGGACTTGGCTGACATGTGGTTTCAACAAGACGGTGCCACATGCCACACCGCACACGAAACAATGGCCTATTGAGAGGCGAGTTCGGTGAACAGTTTATCTCACGTTTGGGGCCCGTCAATTGGCCGCCTAGATCGTGTGATTTAACGCCGTTGGACTATTTCTTGTGGGGCCATGTTAAGGCTAATGTCTACAGGGATAAGCCAGCAACGATTGACGTACTGGAAGCCAATATTGAAGCATTTATCCGTGAGATACCGGCCGATATGTTGGAGAAAGTGTGCCAAAATTGGACCTTGTGCATGGGCCATCTAAAGCGGAGCCGCGGCCAACATTTACATGAAATAATCTTTAAACATTAAATTATATCGACCGTTCTATCGACTCAAATAAAGATTTAATCGTTTTTTCAAATTTTTTGTGTTTTTTTATGAAAATCAAACCGTATACCTCTTAAAAAATCACCCGTTATTTTTAGAGAAATTTACGATACTGTAACCCTTGTCCATCGGGGGGACGACGTCGTATGATTGAAATATGATTTATATATGAGTAAAAATACACCAACATCAAGAAATTGAGATATACCCTCCCCCATCCCCTGAAGCTCCTAACCCCCTATTCTTAATCCATAAATGTTTTCTCAGAAAATGATCAGGATCGTCTGAAACGTTTTTGGCCTTTTCACTGGCCGCCACTGAACCAATTTTCAAAAGCTACGAGGCTTATGCGTTCTTGGCATAGTAGTAACATTGTGTAAAAATTTCATCGAAACCCGAGCTGAACTTCTCAACTTTTAGACGGTTATAAGATCAGCGAACAGACCGACGAAAATTAGTGACATGTTTTCTTGTGATGTAGATGTCATATAGCACCCAAAAAACATAATTTTATTTTCGAAAATTTTCGCGATTACAATACTCCCCTGCTAGCAGGGGTAGGAAGTAAAAATTATCAGCAGCTATATAAAATATATTTCTAAAAATATTTTATTCTCCTATTATATTCCCTATCGCAATTTTTAACCACCATTTTCGGTGGTCCTAAATGCATTATCCGAGACTGATAAGGCCAGGCCAACAAAAGCTGGAGATCAACATGTATTTTTCCCAGTATAATTATTCTTACGTCCCTGATGGACCATTCATGAGCAATCTTAACAGCTCCTGTTGAAAAAAAGTAGAAAAGCACAACATTAAGTAGCGCACTAATTTCATTATATAGCATTCGTATTAAAAAAATCACCTAACAATCTTTACATAATATCCTACAATTTCCTCCATAACATGCTGACCGAAAAAAAAATTAGGCTACTTTCGTATATCGTAAATGAGATAGTTATTAATAGTTCTTTTTATCAAATAAATTACCCACACCTACGTTTACATGCCCACCTTCAATTTAAATTTCTGTCCATCAGAAAAAAAAATCGAAAGCAAATTACAAGGCAGTAAATCAATGATGGTTATATAATGAGCAACGGTCATGTTACATTTAGGAGCTATAATAATTTGTTTTTCCTGTAATCGTTTACCAATTTTATGATGGACGTTTACGACCATGTAAATGTACTTTTGCATTTTGTTCAAAAAATCTGGTTTATTACTTAAATACTTATAGTGGAATGTTATGAAATGGCTTTTTTATGAATTCTAGTATATAAGGTAGTTTATAATTACAACGCCATTGGTGGGAAAATGTTATAATCGCGGAAAACTTCAAAAATCAGATTATTGATGGTGTTGTATGAGATGAGCGTTAAGAAAAACCATGTCACTTAGTTGCGTCGGCCTGTCAAACGGACTGAGGGTCGATCCCCCAGATTTGCAGCTTTTTATTTACAAAAAAAAAATCCCCAAATCATATG